ATATGGAGCTATATCAAGGTATTTCTGTTTTTTTCCCTTCCTAGAGCGATTTTTCTACCTGTATATTTTCATCCCTTGCAAAGCATTGTGTAGGTTAATCACAATAGTCGAGAGCAAAAACGACACAGAATTAGTACCAATATTACTTTTTTGATTGTGTTTTAATCTTTTTTTTATTGTACGTTGTTTTTAAAATGTGGCTAGAACTTATTGACTCTTTGCTTTTTTGACTTCGACAGCGAATCAATAGAGACAAACAGATTTTGGGTTGTCCGTAAACTTCGAGAAATGCTGCAAATCTGAATTTCAAGTCGAGGAGACGGCTGAAACGGAAAAACCGTTGTAAATAAAAAATCGAACTTGAGATTGCCAATGACTTAAATCTACAGGTTGCTCCGTTTTATTCGTTCAAATCTAACGGTCAGTGGTCATTTCTCCTAGACGCAGTGAATATTTCTTCCACACATTTGCCGTGTCCAAGCCTCCCCGTCGGATGTTGCGGCTGCCATTTCTATCCAGGTATAGTGATGTATAGTGTTTCCAGCAAATATCTGGGAAAACAGTTTTTTTAATGACATCTTCAAAATTCGACATCTTCAGCTGATAGTATTTCATTATTTTCTTGTACGGACCTCGCTGCGCTCGGTTCGTACTGCTAAGACCTGGGGCAATATTCCCAGTTATTATATGGCTGTGCTTCACAAAGATTGGGAACTACCGAATTCACGACTTTGATTGGCTGAAATCGATATCGAAGGCTAGATCGGTAATGTTTTGTAATGAAAAAAATGCGAACTAAAATGCCAAAATATTCAGTATTTTCTTCTAACAATATTCATTTATGGAGGTGCCAAAAAGCCTAATGAGAAAAAAAAGTATAGAGAACGACCAAACTTTGGCGGAATTAAGTTCAGCTCATCGCCGTTCGCAAGCAAAATTTAAATGTCATCTAGTTAGTACAAACCAGTTATATTAAACGAATTAAATTGTTCTTGTTTGCCATATAATAAACATCTTATTAACCGAGCTTAGTCGGTCTGTATGGGAGAATCTTGACCTCGATCGTGTGTACAGACCTCACTGCGCTCTGTACTCACGACCTCGGTCAAGATTCTCCCATACAGACCTCCTGCTCGGTTAATAAGAGCTAAGTACAACTCTCACACTCGGTTAAAGGTAAATATTGTAGTGCGACGACTTACTCTCGAGATCTTGTAATGAACACACCATTAATTCGCAACGCAACGGGTATGTATATAACAAAAGATTACTGATTTTAATTGACCCTTGTAGAAGGTCTGAAAGACACTCTTTTGAAAATGTTTTCGATTCTCCCCCTTAGTAAAGCAAGGGAACAACAAACAATTAGCAATAAATAATTAATAAATTAATCAAGTTGTTGTTGTTGTTATTTTTATTTTTGCGAGGAAATTATGCCCACCCTATCTCTACCCCATATGCAAGACGTCACCCGGCTGTCTATTGCCTTCCACAAGACCAAGGGTAAGATTGCATATTCTATATTAAAATGGCGTACAAACGTTTTAGAATTGGTATAATGTCCAGAGGTGAATATAAGAATTAGACATTCTGATTGGTCGAAAAGCTCGGCACACGACGCTATATTCACCCCACTAGAGCTTGGTTACTAAGCTCGTAACATTTGCCCATCTCGGCAAGTAAACGTGGTGGACAGTTGGTGAATGAAATTTTCATTTATTCGAAAGACACCACTTCAAGTCCAGGATATTTAAAAGGATGGAGAATTTTCAAATTGACTGTTGTCGCCCTTGAACCCACAGTCTTTTCAAGAACTCGTATTCAAGGCATTTAAGAATCGTAAACGCAGTGGTTACGTTGATCGCCAGCAGGTCAGATCGATTGACCCAAATTTATTTTTCTTCAAAATAAAGCTACTCATTTTTAGACGATGATGACAACTGTGAATGAAGTCAACAACGATAAAACCAAGGTTCTGGACGAATTAACTTTTCGTAGTGTTTTGTTTGTTTGTTTTGCTGCCGAACTCGATAAGTAAATTGATTGACAATTGATGTCCATGTAAGCTTATTATTAAAACTACGGCTGCAA